AAATATATATATATAAAAAAAGTCCTCGGGTGACGATAAAAATAAATAAATAAAATAAATAAATAAATAAATAAATAAAAGTTTGATGCAGAGAGAAGCCTACCAGGTATATGAAAGGTCCAGAAATGGTCTTTAGTATGTTCAAGGAGATCATGTCTTCCGAGGACTGGTATTTATGAGTGAGGTAGGGTGGGGGGTACTTATGGGATTTATAAACAAAAATACTAATTTTTTAAAAGTGCTTAAAATTTTTATCTCTTGGCCCTTGGTAAGGAAAGTTTGAAAAAGTGCAGTGTTTGATTTAAATGCAAGGATTACTTTGAAAACTTTTACATCAAAATCATCCCATAAGTTCAAGTTCTCAGATAAAAACACAAATTTGTTGTCTCTACTTTGGGCTTTTATATGACTATTTTTAAACAGTTTGGCACAGGATTTTAATTTCTTATTGTTCTTCATTGATCAAATCACCGTGTTTTGTTGCTCTTCAGAAGCCAAACAAAAAGAAAAACATCACCAAAGTTTACATCTCTCTGCTAACATTAACCTTCTTCTCTGTTTCTCTGTAGAGTTTTCTAAGAGTTGTAGGGCATTAAAAGGAAACCTGCTACTGAAATGACGGAGAGTTTATTACACATTTACTCTTAGGTAACCAAATGAGCTTTTGCCATTTTATTCAGACTTATCTGTGATTACCTTTTTCGGTCCTCTTTATATTATTTCATTCCCATTATCATCCATTAGTCATGTTACAGACTCTTTTGTGCTGCTTTGGTGTCTATGATTCTCCCTCACTAAAAAATCAGTACTTCATCTATTTTCTTTCAACTACTTCTATCAATCGAAATTTTCTTTCTTTTCATTTTGCCAGCCTCTAGTAAATTGCATTGTTTCTGTATTAACTTCTGTCTAATTCCATATGAATTTCAATAACTGTGAAGGCTCTTAGATTTTATTCTAACAAGCCAGCAGGTTTTCCTGATACAACTAAATGGATGTTCATGGTTCTTTACGTTTATTACTATTGCTCATACTATTTATTAAACTTGAATAATTTCATTTGAGTTCAATCACTGGGATGGGGCCTTGGATTCCAAGTTCCAAACAGGAAAGATGCACATGTTCCCGGGCTTTGCTTCAGCTTCCTTTCCTTTGGTTAATTTGGAGAGGAATGTTAACATGATAGTGTATTTTGTTGTTGTTAATCCTCACCCAATGCTATTTTTCCATTGGTTTTTAGATAGAGTGGAAAGGAGGAAGGGAGAGAGAGAGAGAGAGAGAGAGAGAGAGAGAGAGAGAGAGAGAGAGAGAAAGAAAGAGAGAAAGAAACAGCAATGTGAGAGAGACACATCAGTTGATTGCCTCCTGCATGACCCCAACCAGGGCTGGGATTAAACCCAAAATCCAGGTATGTGCCCTTGACTGGGAATCAAACCTGTGACCCTTCAGTCCTCCAGCCGACGCTTGACCCAGCCATGGCATGATAGTATATTTTTGTGTTGATACATCGGTCCCCTTTCTGGCACTTGGGTGGTCTGTCTTGCTGAAATATTTGTCATTCACCTCACTACTGTTAGGATGATTAGTACCAATAAATGCTCTTTTTCATTCTTTCTGAAACCACATCCTAAACTTTTCTGTTTTTGTCATTGTATTTATAGGAACCCATATTGGTATTGTATAATAGAGCCAGGCATATATGGGATGCCATTTTATTATCTACTTAGATGGCCCACAACTTTATATTTAAATGCAATGATTATTTTGGATACTTTTACATCAAAATTATCCCATAAGTTCAAGTTCCTAGAGAAAAACATGAATTTATTGTCTTCTCTTTGGGGCTTTATATTTCTATTTTCAAACAATTTAAAAACTGCCATGGTAATAACTATAATCCTGAGCTTTCAGTCTTGTCCACAGGGTATAATATAACAAAGCTATATGGCCTATAAATCTGATATCTGAATTGTGTTTATGTTACTTTATTAGGTATCCCTTTCTACCAGCAATTGTATTAATTATTGCAGTACTCCAAATACTTCCAGCTTATATGTCAGTGCTAAGTGTTATAGATACTATTTTATGCCCTTTTTACATATGAGAAAAGAAAGACACAGGGTTAGCTAATTTACCTAAAGTTAGTAAGTAAGAGAACTAGATTTAAACCTGCAGCTTCTGTCTCTACAATCCATGCTCATAACTACTTAACTTGACTGCCTCTTCACATTATTGTCATATGAGTGTTATAAGTAGTAGATGTTACAGGTTCACACTAAAGGCAACAGAGTTAGAGTTTATGGAGGAGTAAATTCAGTTGATTCTTGAAATAGGGGATAGGTTTGAATATGAGGAGAGAAGAGAAAGACATGGAAATAGGGAACAGACAGACAAACCTCAGAGGGAAGAGGGGTGGGGGAGTGGGAAGAGATAAACCGAAGAACTGATATGCATATATGCATAACCAATGGACACAGACAACAGTGTGGTGAACATGGAGGGGGGGAGGGCATGTGGTGTCAATGGGGAAAAAGGAGGGACATTTGTAATACTTTCAACAATAAAGATAAATTTTAAAACGAGTAACAGAATGAACAAAGGTTCAGAGATGGGACTAGAAAGAATATATTTGGGGTAATGAAGAGTTTGAATTAGCTCTATAGAAATAACTAATGAACTTGGTTAGTATTGAAGGTTTATCCATTAAAACTTTACTGAAAAAAAAAACCCTTAGTTTTGTTTTAGAGTTCTTAGATTGAGTTCTTCTAAAAAATACTACTAATCTTATTCATTGGGAATACTGATTTAAGTTTCATTAGTAAGGAAATAATAGAATAAAATTCTCAGTCTTTTTCTCTTTTTAATTCTTACTCGCGATATGTTTTTATTGATTTTAGATAGAGAAGAAGGGAAGGGGGTGGGGTTAGGAGGGTGTGAGGAGAGAAAAAGTGAGAGATGAGAGAGAAACATCAATCTGTTGCCTCTCCTACATGACTCGACCAGGATTAAACCCAAAACCTGAGTTATGTGTCCTGACTGGGAATGGAACCTGCTACCCTTTGGTCCACAGGACGATACTCCAACCAATTGAGCCACACCTGCCAGTGCAAAATTCTCAGTCTGTAATATAGAGTTTTTAAATTAGTTCTTTTTTTTTTTTTTAGTTAGTTTTTCTCCCACTAGTGTAATTTGGTTAGGTAACTTGTGGTGAAATTGGTCCAGCAGGAGGAATTTGGATGTATGTTGAAATTCTGCCATATTTTGGAAGAAAAATGTTATTTTAAGCATTCTGGTCATTTTTGGTGGAGTGAAGGTCTTGCCATGAAGTTGTCATTGGCAGGTTTACAGACCACTAAACATGGCTTCCTTATTTACAAAAACCACACACACACACACACACACACACACACCCACACGCACACAGGCACACAGTAGAAATCGTGAAAACATGTAACTGTGTCAAAGAAATGTCATGCTTACACAGCTAATAAAAATAAGATTATTGATTGAGATGGGAAGCTGATTCCTTTCTAAAGTTTGGGGCTGAAGAAATCTGAGCTCTCCTCTAGGTCTTGTAATTAACTCACCACTTAAGCTTGACATATACATAAAATACTCACCCATATATATTTTATTCATTTGGTAAATTTACAAATTAGAAGAGGTGGGAAGAGCAGGGAGATAAGCTGACAAACACTAACGATTAGAAACTGAAGAAATGTGGGAGGTATAGAGTTGACCAAGTGGGAATATCTTTGTGTAATCCTTTGTTTGACTTGTGTGAGAATAAGCTGCTTCTGATGACATAAAATTTTTGAAGGTTAATTTTCTTTTCTAGAATAGAGAAACAAACTCCTTTATAGCTTCCTATTTAAGACTTGGGATTTGCAGTTATCTAGTAACTTTAAAGAAATCATCAAAAATTACAATAAAGATTGTTTTTCCTAAGCTAAACTTTTATCAGAATAATGCAATTTTGTATAGTGCCTTATCTATTCAGAAGTATAATTTGTATCATAGATTTCTCTGGGCTTTTTAAACCAGGGTTCATAGCTGTTTTGGAACGGAGGATATTCCTAAAATATGTGCAAGGTTTTATTTTTATCTGCAGTTCATTTTAACTACCAGTTTTTGTACATGTTCGCAAAGTCCCATGTTAATACTGTGTCATACTATGCTGAAAATGCTTTCTTACTGATAAAATGAGTATAAATAATAGCACAAACCAAATCCTAACTGACCTTTAAATGTATCTGACTTAAAAGGCTGAAGTCAAGGACTTCTAAATATTTTTATGTAAAGAACTATTTGAGATGTATCTAAAGAAAATGTTTATTTTTCAAATCTTTTAATTTGGGAGAGAGATTCAAATTGTGATTGGTTTTAACTCAATCAAATTGTGATTGGTTTTCAGGATGACCCTGAAAACTTGCTCATCTGGAATTTATCTTACCGTTTCCTCACTTTAAAGTTTCAATACTCTATTAATTTCTTCCTGGGAAGAACATATTAACTCATGATTTCAGCTGGAGCATACTTTTGTCTGACCTATATCAGTTACTATAGTTAACCATTGGAGTCTTAGGCTTTTGCAGCTACACAATGGGATTATTTATTATTTAACATGTTGTCACTTCCAACATGTGCTCTCAGTATCATGTAGATAAGCATAGGCCCTGCCCTTGGAGATTTACAATCTGGAAAAACTAATAATATACAGACCTACACACTTTGGATTGTAAGGTCAAAGAGCTAGAAAGTGAAGAGTACTAGAAAGGAAGTTATTTTATAATTATGAATGATACATAGTTTCATGTACTTTACTGTATATATTTCCCACTTTAAATAAACTAAGTAGAATAGAAAGTGAATTTGAACTAGAATTAATTTTATCCATCTTTATAGTTGTCATTAACATTGATTAAGAAAAATAGAGTTTATTTTATTAAGAAAGCATTAAATCTTAGTTAATAATGTCTCTTTCCTTTTCTTCTTTGCAGAATATGTGTGTAACTGCTCTGTGTTCGGAAGCCTGGATGTGAATCGCTGCAACCAGACCACAGGGCAGTGCGAATGTCAGCCAGGTTATCAGGGGCTTCACTGTGAAACCTGCAAGGAGGGCTTTTACCTGAATCATACTTCTGGGCTCTGTCTACCATGTGAATGTAGTCCACATGGAGCCCTCAGCATACTCTGCAATAGGTAAGTAGCAGAGGGTAGAGGCACAGTTAATTTTATTTGATAAAAAATAAGGCTTCTGCTCCCAAGGACCAGACAGGTTTAAATGAAGAGAGAGAGGGGTCATAGACTTACAAAATATTTCATATACTTGTATTACCTCATTTTATATATATATATAAATATATATATGAGATATATATATATATGATATATATATATAATGTCATATTTAATGTTAAGATTACAAAGCTTCTAATTTATAGATTTAGTCCTTCAGAAGCACCTGGGTTACCAATTTTGCTTTGTGATTGTTTCTCTAAATTTTATGGGAAAAAAATTATTGAGAAAGCAAATCTGCTTTCTGGAAGCAATAAATTCCAGGCATTTCCTGGAAACAGTTCTGTTTATTAACATACTATTGGAATTTCAAGAAATGTATTCTTTTTTTTTAATTTAATTTTTATTTATTTTTTTATCCAAGAACATTTTTCCATTTTTTGTTCAGATAGAGTGGGAGGGAGAGAGGGAGAGAGAGAGAGAGAAACATCGACGTGAAAGGGACACATCAAGGGGCTGCCTCCCACATGACCAGGGCTGGGAACAAACAGCAACCGAGGCATGTGGCCTTAGCGGGAACCGAACCTGGGTCTCTCTGGGCTGCAGGCCGACGCTCTAACCGCTGAGCCAAACCGGCCAGGGCAAGAAATGTATTCTTTGATTTATTTTTTCTCTTATCAAAACTCTAGAACCTTTTTTTTTTTGCACATCTAAGGCTAAAACTTAATAATATATTAATTTCTTTAACTAATGGGAAAAAGACTGGTTTCACTCTATGTACCAGTGCATTTTTGGGGACCAAAACTAGATTAAAATTAACTTTTAAATATTATGTTATTTGGAGGTGACTTAATCTAGTAGACCAAATCTGAGGATTTGCCTTCTCCTACACTGAAAATAATTATTCTTTGACCTTGTATGAGACATGTAGCTTTTTGTGGACCCCAAGTCAAAAAGCTGAAGAGACACTGTTATGTAAAGAAGAGAATACAAGCTTTAGAATCAATCTAACCTGGGTATGGATCCAAGATCTGCTGCCACTTAGGAGCTATATTTTTTGTTTTTATCCTCACGTGAGGAGATTTTTCCATTTTTTCAGATAGAATAGGAGGGGGAGAGAGAGAGAGAGAAATATCGATGTGAAAGGGACACATCGAGTGGCTGCCACCCGCACAACCCAACCAGGGCCAGGGACAAACTGCAACCAAGGTACATGCCCTTAGCGGGAACCGAACCCCAGTCTCTCTGGACTGCAGGCTGACGCTCTAACCGCTGAGCCAAACTGGCCAGGGCTGGAGTTGTGTGTTTTTTTGCAAGTTATTTCATTTCTCTGAGCCTCAGTTTGTTCTCAAAGTTGTTGTGAAGATTAAATGAGTAGAATATATATAAAATTCCTAGCACACATCACTTCATAGATTCTGGTTTGTTTTAATTTCAGAGGAATATTGTTGACCTAATGAGGGAATATTTTTAAAACACTTTTAGTTCCATGGCAGAAAGGGTTCTTCATACTAAGTAGTAAATACTTTGTATGCTTTATAAATTATAGTGTACTATTATGTAATATTGTGCCATATTATACTTCAAAGTATAGAAGTGGACTTAAGAAGTTTATAATTTCAAGTGCAACAATAATATATTTATGACGCTTGTTATGTTACAGTTATTTGCCTTAATCCTCATGACAGCTTCTTTTTATGTATGTTATTAGATCACAAAGATTGTAAGTGGCAGAGAAAGAATTCCAAATTAGGTCTTCCAACTCCAACTCCAGTGTCCTTATCACCATGCCATATGGCTTTTATAATGAGAAAACTGTTAATTACTCTGTTGAAGTTGAGTACATGGTTGTTGCTCACCATTGCTTCCTTTACTCCCCAAAATATGCCTACACAATATAACACAAGTTATATTCAGAATGTTCACATTTCTCACCATTTTAAAAAATGAAATTTGTTCATTCTGGTATCTGATGGTATATTCACTACTACTATTGGAATAAGATTCTGTAAACACATTTGCCTTGAGTACTTCTGAAGAGATAGAAAAGTGTTTATTTCTAAGCCTGTACTTAAAAGAAGTCCTTAGGAGGAAGACATGGGAGCTCTAAATCTAGCTCAAAGCACTACATTTCTTTACTGCCAGAAAGGAAGTTAAATTGCCCTGAGGCTGGAGCAGTGGTTCTCAACCTTCCTAACACCACGACCCTTTAATACAATTCCTCATATTGTGGTGACCCCCAACCATAAAATTATTTTCGTTGCTACTTCATAACTGTAATTTTGCTACTGTTATGTCTTAGGCGACCCCTGTGAAAGGGTTGTTCGACCCCCGAAGGGGTTGCGACCCACAGGTTGAGAACCGCTGCGCTAGAGGAACAGAAAGGGGAAGTTGCAGGACTATGTGCTTTGGCAAGAACATATGGTAAACTATGAGGAAACTCCTCTCTAAGTTGTGCTCTGCTATAAATTACATATAGGTGAGTTAAAGGAGAAAGGAAATTGTAGGCAAGTAGTGTAAGGTGGAGTAGAAAGGAAGTGGAATCTGTAATTAGTAGATTTTGATCCCATTCTTGCTTTAGCCACTTACTAACTATATAACCTTGATTAAGATGTTTGACCTCGCCCTGGCTGGTTTGGCTCAGCGGTTAGAGCGTCGGCCTGCGGTCCAGAGAGACCCGGGTTCGGTTCCCGCTAAGGGCACGTACCTCGGTTGCAGTTTGTCCCCGGCCCTGGTTGGTCGTGCGGGTGGCAGCCACTCGATGTGTCCCTTTCACATCGATGTTTCTCTCTCTCTCTCTTCCTCTCTCTCCCTCCCACTCTATCTGTACAAAAAATGGAAAAATGTCCTCGGATGAGGATTAAAAAAAAAAAAAAAAAAAAGATGTTTGACCTCTTTGAACCTCAGTGTTTTCATCTGTAAAATTAGATTAATGTATGTAACATAAAGGATTTTTGTAAGATATGTGTGTGTGTGTGTATGTGTGTGTGTGTGTGTATCCACTTATATTGCAACTGGCACACAGATTCAGCTCTATAACTACCTAGGAGTTGACTCTGTTTTTTTAAAAAGTAAGGAATAAAATTGGTGATTTATAAATGAGGAGAATTAAGTCAACCAGACTTGGCTATGAGTAAAGATTGAGGTATTTGTTTTTGTTGGTAGGTTAAAGAAGAAATTGTTCAATCTAATGGATAGATTTTATTTCATTTTCATAAAGAAACCTAATAAACTTTTTAAAATTGGCCATTCTATATTTTAGAATAATAATAATAGCTAAAATTAATTGAACACATGCTAGGCACTATCCCAAGACCTTTGCATGTAGTAGTAATTAATTTACTTCTCATAGTAGCCATATCAGATTGACATTATTATTATTATTATTATTATCATTATCATCATCATCATCATCATCATCATCATCATCATCATTTGCACAGGGAAAAAAGTTATGTTAGGTAATTTGCCTAACTTAGAAGGTAATAGCCAGTAAGCAGAAGAGTTGGGATTGAAACATTTGCAATCTAGATCTAGAATATGTAATCTTATTCACTATGTTGGAACAGCCTTTTAAAAAATCTCTTTGTGTTGAATCTGTTTTAATAAAAAGAAGTGAGGAATAGGATTGGTGACTCATAAAAGAGGACTAAAAACTTTGGACTGAAAACAATATTGCTTTTGCTCTTTAAAAGAAATGTGTAATTTATGCAAGACTAATAAAGGACACAAAGCTACTAAAAATCAATGCAGAACAGGGCTAACTTTCCTTTTTTTTCCTTTATTGATTTTTAGAGAGAGAGAGAGAGAAATAGAAACATTGATAAGAGAGAACATCGATTGGCCGCCTCCTGCATGTCCCCCACTAGGGATCCGGCCCACAACCCGGGCATGTGCCCTGACCGGGAATTGAACTGGTGACCTCTTGGTGCATGGGTTGACACTCAACCACTGAGCCACACTGGCCGGGCAGGGCTAACTTTCTAAGTAGAATAGTTTATAGAGTGGGAAAAGAACAGGAATAAGCTGAAGTAATAAAGAAAGGCTTTCAAGAGAACATGGGAACTAAGATGTATCTTCCAAGTTATGGTTTGGGAAGTTAGAGAGATAAGAAGATGACTGTATCAAGAGAAAAAAATGCGAATTCAAATGAATTTTATAAGATTATACTGTGAGATGAAAATGATCTGATCTCCTAACACCCACTCAAATTCTTTTCTGTTTTAAATTCCCTGTTTTCTTTTTAAAAATAAATAAAAGTAGAAAAGTGGACTCAACTCTGACTGATTCTCTCATAAATTTAATACCCATAGAACGAACAGCTGGCTTTTAAAAAATTCATCTCCATGTTCTTTATGCCCATATATTTCAGTGGGAGTTGTCCCAGTGAGCGTAGAATTTGGCTACAAGAGCCAGATGTGGGTTGAGCAATGTCTTTGTGTGTAAAAAACAAAGTTCTTTATGTTCTGACAGCTGGTCACCCCCTCACATCACCACTGGTGTTCTAATCTGTTTAACTGGGACAGAGTTGGTTTACAGTATCTTACATTTTCATTTTTTCTTTTGGAATTCATTTATATTGTTTTACTGATTTACATTTAGACATATGCTTAATAAACAAATGAAGAAATCACATAGCATTTTATCTCAGAGTAGTATGCCTAGTGAGAGCCTGAGTCTCTTAATACAGATCTTAAAATATTTGAAGGCTGATTTAATATCTAGGCAATTATATACATGTTTGAGATTTTAAAAATGTACGTTAGTATACAATGTGTATCATTTTAGACTGTAAGCAAAGAAATTCTGTAGTGGTGCAATATTCTTTTCATAAAATCTGTGGTTGCTGCTATATAGTATATTTTGAAATATTTACTACTTTGCACTTTTAATTATGGGACTGTGACCTAGGACATAGGACAAAATTTTACGCATGAAGTAAACTTACGCTGAAATAAATGTCA